TAACCAAAACACTTTTCTTAATAAGCGTTTAGAATCATGTTAAAAAAAACACAATCATATTTTGAAAACAGGATAAATATTCTCGAATAGATAAAAATATTTGTCTTAGCATTTTTTAAAGCTTTTAACAATGGATGTTTGTCACAATATGATATGTCTCTGAAAGTTTATAGATATACATGTGAATAATGACTGGTCCCTTGCCTGGATCATGACAAATGTGATGGAACACTGTCAGTTCATCACGTTACAGGCTCAAAGCAGATGTTCACAGTGCTGAACAGAATGGGACACTGTGCTTAATACGATCAAGTTGAAATCATAGACACTTGTCTTGCTGAGGAAATCATTGTCAAATCTGAGATGCATGGTGTTGTTCCAAGCAACATCGTACCTGGTGTCTTTGTTCAAGAGGCTGCAGATGACTTTACTGAAGAGAGACTTGATGGAAAACACTCATTATATGCTACAACCATGTTTCTATATCAGAAAAGTCAGTCTGGTCCAATAGCCCCATGCATGGTATATGCTGATCACTCTCACAGGAAACGGACTTTTCAGTCTACAAAAATGTGCAAGAACATGCGGGAGTTTAGCACTCACGACAAACGCACACTCAGTTATGTGAGGCAAGCAGATTATGTATGGTTCACTGATACTGAACATGTTCATCTATCAAGCTGCAGTTTGAATCTGGCATGGGCATTTGCCAGATGTGTCCAACAAAAATATGTGATGTTTAACTTACTCTAGTTCCAAAATGGAAGTTGAAATCCTATGGTTTTCGTTTCTTTCAGGTGGCGGCCGCGATGAACTGGAATGAGCTACCAGCTCACCTTAGAACAAGCCCAACAGTCACATGTTTCAAATCAAACCTAAAGACATACCTTTTCTCTATGTTTTAAAATGACTCTTAAATTCTATCTTGTCTGCGCTATGAGCATGCTGTCGGTGTGGATTTAGCGCAATATAAATGGACTAATTATTATTATTAGTTAAGGCAGAGGAGCAGGCTGTGCCAAGCTGAAGTGGTTTCCATGCTATGGTACACTCAACTGTTCCTACACATACCAACGTTGGTTATTGTCCGATGATTGATGGCGCTGCCACAGAGTTCAGCACTGTAAATACAATAATGAAGACAGTTCAGACCATGATGTCCAGCCTTCAGCAGCATGACAGTGTCATTACATTTGACCTTGCAATCTATGTAAAAGCCGAAGAAATCCAAAGGCACCTTCCAGAAGAGTTTCTGACACTGTCATACGCATGGGTGGGTTCCACATTGCAACCAAGTTCATCAAACTCTTGGGTAAAGACATGAAGAATCAGGTATCCAGAACTTCTCATTGAAGGTGGTGTTTATACAAGTGGATCAGTCACTGCACTTCTGAATGGAAAGTTCCACAATGAGGGAGTTTAATGTCACAAGCTATTGATGGAAGCCCTTTTTCACTTACAATGGCAAACATTTGTAAACTGGCTGATTAACAAGGGGAAATGTGACAAGATTATGGCCATCCAAGATGCCGCAAAGGAAGGTCATGACTTTCAAGAATCAGTTCTGAAGCTTGTAGATGAAACCCAAACAGTCATTTTCTAGTTTACCACTTTCCGGAATCAGATGTAAACAAAGATCCAAAAATATGCATTTTTGGATTATTACATTCCAGTGGTTTAGCTAATGCTTCGGTTCATCAAGGCGGAGATGACAGGTATTTGGTCACTACACCTATCATCCACTGCTGCACTGACTCCATATTTCTTTGCTATGGACAGACAGATCAACTCAAGATGCTTACCAGTGTACTTTCGGACATGAACCTCCTATCAGAGAGACATCCAGACTTGCATAACGAGTTCATAAATGGTACCATGCAATCAGCCGATCTTGTCAACCGTTTGCCCAGACATGGACAGATATGGCACTTGAGCAAACTGTGAATTTGGAGAAAAAACACATGAGGTCATAACTGGAATAACTAAAAAGACAGAAGTACAAGAATGATGGTTTCTAACATGTCTTGAACGTGCAGCGACTGCGGGCAGAAACAAGGAGTCAGCTCCAAATAGATTTAAACGGGATGAAGATGATGCCCAGCAGTTAATTACATGCTTGGCACCAGGGGTGATGACAAATCCGTTATAATTTCATGATGTATTTGGTGACACAATGCCTCTTTGCTTCTGGAGTTGTGATGCCTCAGGACACTTCAGGCCGTTTGATACAAGCGTGTATCTGTCCAACAACTCCAATTCCCAGACAGTGACAGAAGTACATCAGCAACCCTAAAAACAAACTAAGAGAACCTCTATCATTTCACAGAAACCTGGACACGTATTGGCCAAGACAACCTCACAGCCACTGAGCAATTAGTCTTGGGTTGTGGCTTCAGTGATGGAGAAGGAGATGTACTAATAACAAAGGGTCATTATGAGGATGCCCAGTATCTGACATCATACCACGAGGAAGTAGACACTCGGCTCCTCTTGCTATCAAACATGCTTCTTCTGAAAACCAGAGGATTGTGATTCAGTCACCAGATACAGATGTTGCTATGCTTTGTACGTTTTTCTTTGCTGATCTCGAGTGTCAAGAACTTCGGTTCCATACAGGCATTATAGACAAGCTGAGGTTTGTTTATTCTCTTTGCTCAAGAATCAAGAACGAACGTTTGCAAAGCTCTAGGTCCATCACTACATGTACTCACCGGATGTGACTCGACCAGTTCTCTGTCATGACTAGGAAAGAAAAAGGCATTGCCTTTTCTACTGAACAGTGATGTTCACCAAATCAGATTAGCACAGCTTGGTGAATCCCTTGAGTTAGGGGAAGAATTATCTTCGTAAGGAATTCATTTGCGGTCTCTATACAGTTGATGACAGTGCTTGCAAGAAGGCAGATGGTGTCAGATACTGGCTTTACTGTAAGAAGCAACTCAACAATGAAAGATTACCGCGAACCTCAAACAGCCTTATCCTTATGAAACAAGCAAACTACCAAGTCTATGTCTGGTGAAGGGCATTGCAAGCCATGCATGATCTTCCCTTCTGTTGATGGCCATGGTTGATGGTTTAATGCAGTCTGACAAAGCATCCCCCACTCAAGGAACTGTTGGAATTGACAACCTTTAGATTGCTACTTTCCTGTTGATGCGTTAAACATGGCATTTCAATTAACATATTGTGAAATGCATGAACAAAACAGTATATGTTAATGTAGTACTTCGTTGTTAAGCCATATATTTCATTGATAAAAACTAGGTGGTGAATGGCGACCATTATGTAAAATGTCTATTATGACAAACAGATATTTCGTCTTGACTGTATTTACACCACGGAATTACTGAAACACTCAAATACACTAAGTTTGCTCAGTTGTATGTGTGAATTATACATAAAAAAGCATTCATAGGTCACAATTAGTATGTACCATGCCCTTTTCAGCATGGTTAATTTGCCAAATGTCGGCCATTTTGAAAAATGGCCGTCATGGCTGCCTTTTGTTTTATGTAGTAATATTCTACAACAAGAAATCTTTCTTGGTCACTGAAGTAATTCTGTGCTTTGTTTCAAAATGCTGTGACACATGTGACAGTTATTACAGATGTTGTATCTATCTCACTATGCAGATGTATCTATAAAATGAACATAGTTTTTACAATAGGTACCTTCCATTAAAATGCCTCTAACTTTTTACCTACCCTATAATTTGGGATTACATAGTACCTATAAATGTTCAGTAGGCTCTCCTGGATCAAAATGTGTAGTCAGACCTTTTATGTAGAAGGTGTTGAACAAATTCTTTTTCCTTGCTTAGCTCCTGTACTACTGTGTGTTCCTAGTGAAGTTGCCACCCAGCTTCAAAATTACTGAGCACCTTGCCTTGCATGATAAGCATGATAAGCGTGAGCTGCTACTCGCAGCCAATGAGAAGTTGTAAGGATTCTTCATAAACTTTAGGCCAATCAGCACAGTTAGTATAAAACATGAACAGTGAACTATCCTTACATAGGTGGAAAGGCTCAAAATGAGTAGTATTGAGGGTTCCTACATATACGTACACATCATCGTCTCACGACTACATCTATGACGTGTAACACAGGTAAGTGTATATATACGTACACGTCATGGTCTCACACGTACATCTATGACGTTTAGCACAGGAAAGTGTATATATACGTACAAGTCATGGTCTCACACCTACATCTATGACGTTAAGCACAGGTAAGTGTACATATCCTCGCTCTTCATCTAATGTTTATATACTCGCCTACAGTGTTTTCGAGCCCCTAAGACAAACAATGACAATCATGAGAAATGCTTTGGGATATATCAATAATAGTTATCCTACTTTGAATTACATTTATTGTGCTGTTAAATTTGTTAGCCAAGGAGATGCGTCGTTTGTTTGCAGCAGAACATACCTCGAAGTTCGAAGTGACCTAGTTGATCGCAATGTTTTTGTGACGTCACCTCTTTTCAAGCCCCTCTATATTGTTGACGTATTCAACACAGTGTCAGCCAGCGCGGGGTGATCTTAAAACTTGAAGTGGTCTTATGAATTCACAGTCATCCAAAATGTTCCAAACGAGTATGAGTCTTTCAATTTCCGCTATAATGATTAATGTAGCATATATGCACAATATAGCACAGTCACTCGATCGTGAATATGATTTCAGTGTTAGTTATGGCAAATTGTCGTCTCACTGCCGTAAGCGTACATGTATTGTTATGAGACGATGAGTTATGGGAACTAGGCATTAAACTTATGTAGAGTTGTCACTTCAGTCGACAAACAGGCTCTATTCCTCTGAATTTTCCGAATGACACGGACACCAGAATTCAGCTGTTGATCTCACAACGCGCACCTGCGTACAGTATTTGAGATGTACCCAGTGATCACAACTCGGGTGCGTACACTGAGCCCACTTTGTGAATACAAGCGAGACACAACTTTGCAGTTCTTTCGGTTGAAACAATTTGCAAACACAACACACTTCGTCATCACCCTCATTGTCCGTGTCTGTACCGCTGTCACTTGCGACAACCTCTCGTACATGAGACAATCCAGACGTGCTTGGTTTGGCAGAGAGAGTTGAACGAACTTGTGATACTTTTTTCTTCTGTGCAGGCTGTTGCTTCCTCTTCTTGACAGGGTGTTTCTGAGTGTGTTCTTGAATTTTGAAGACTGTATTTTCTTCTGTGATGGCTTTACCATTGACGATAGAGTTGAGGACTTTCCGCTTCAGTGCTGCTGCAGACTTGATTTTGTGCAGAGCGTCTTCCTTCTGTCTAAAAAGTGAGTCGTCGGCTTCACGGTTTTCCTCGGATGTAATAAAAATTGTAGAAGGTCTCAAGGCTTCGGCAGACACGACAGAATCGTCAAATGGAAATATTCAACATTTCTCAAACGAGGACATCAAGTTTCTTGGAGAAAAAGCCGACGTGTATGCTTTACAAGCAACAGCACACATAGCGTTCCTATCTATGTTGGTGGTGACTTGTTCTCTGATATACGTGTGTTTCATGGAATTGTAGATCCTTTCTAGTGGCCCGAAACAACCAACGTCAAGTGATTGTAAAACGTGAGAAGTGTGAGCTGGCAGTACCATCAGGAAAATGTTCTGAGATATGGCCCAGTCAATGATGGGGAGAGAAACATGAGAGCAGTACCCGTCGTAAAGAAGGAGAATCGGCTGTGACAGATCTGACCTCTGAGCGTATTTCAGGAAGTGATCATTCAAATAAGTGGAACATATTTCCATAGTTGACCACCCTGAATCACTAGTTGTGGCATTGGTACCTGGGGTACATCCAGATAGAATATCCAAACGCAGACGCTGTCCCTTAAGTACGAAGTAAGGAGGGATTTGTTGTCCGAGAGCCTTCCCACAACCAATTAAAGTTGTTGTTGATGATCTTGGTGTAGTAACCGCGACACATCAATATTCAGAAGAAGACACCACTTTAAGAGGAGTATGGTTCTCAATCAACCCTTTTTCGTCAACATTATAGATGAATTGCGGCTTGTCAAATAAATCGTACTTCTCTGGCACGGCCCGAAGTTTGACGAAATATTTGGAAACTGCTTCCTGCGATGTCGCCTTTGCTCTGAAAACTTCGAGAGGGTGTGGCTTGTCCAGCTTGAGAGAAGGCCATCGCTTCATAAATTCATAATACCAAAGGAGAGAAAAGGGATCATCTCTATTTCGTTTTCCCAGTTGAACAGCATACTGAGATGCCAGTGTAGTGACCTCCAACCTGGTGTATCCGTACCCCACACTACTCATGAACTTTAGATGTTCAACAAGTCTAGACTCCTCTCCTAAACTAAGAATTGGTTCAGTCCCTGATTTAAGAGTTTCTGGATGGATCCTACCCCTAGCACGATCTCTGAGAGTCGTCTCAGGTACAGAAAACTTCCTAGCTGCAGTATTGTCTTCCATAACGCCTAAATATGCCCTGGTCATAGCCTTTAGGTCATAAATCCTATACGACGAGGGTTTTGAATTCTGCAATACACCGAAAAATTGGTTACAACACTTCTAAGACGGCCCCTACTAGCGATCGCGATGCAAGTTAAAAATAACCAGCCACATGATGTAAGTCATGTGATCCTGGCCGGAGGTTTACATTCTGCAGACGGCATAACTTCGCAGTGAAGTCAAAGGTTTTCAGTGCAAGAAATGCAGCTTTAAACTTTAAAGAAATATGCAGTAGACAAAATAGTGACTTTTTGTCATGGGTTTACGTTTTTTTTATCTAACTTACCACCTGCAGCTTCACTCGCCACATAATTACCTCCTAGACAACTTGTAACCTGCGTTCCGCTTTGAAGTGGCTACCTGGATGACGTCATCAAATAAATCCGCACGTGTGTACTGGCGGCTCGAAATGAGGTAACGTGGGGATATACGTACACGTCATGGTCTCACACCTACATCTATGACATGTAGCACAGGTAAGTGTATACATACGTACACGTCATGGTCTCACACCTACATCTATGACAAGTAGCACGGGTAAGTGTATATATACGTACACATCATCGTCTCACACCTACATCTATGACGTTAAGCACAAGTAAGTGTATATATATATACATACACGTCATCGACTCACACCTACATCCATGATGTGTAGCACAGATAAGTGAACATATACGTACACATCATCGTCTCACACCTACATCTATGACGTTAAGCACAGGTAAGTGTATATGTACGTACACGTCATGGTCTCACACCTACATCTATGACGTTAAGCACAGGTAAGTGTATATATACATACACGTCATTGTCTCACACCTACATCTATGACGTGTAGCCCAGGTAAGTGAACATATACGTACACGTCATGGTCTCACACCTACATCTATGACGTTAAGCACAGGTAAGTGTATATATACGTACAACGTCAAGGTCTCACACGTACATCTATTACGTGTAGTCCAGGTAAGTGTATGTATGCATACATGTCATCGTCTCTCACCTACATCTATGACGTGTAGCACACATTATGCCACGTATGCATCATCGTCTCACTGAATCTACAAAGATTATCAAACGAAAATAAACGTCACCTACCACACTTGCCAATAAAAAAATTACTAAACGCCATTGTCTCTCATATACATCTACGACGTTCACCACAGGAACGTCTACACCTACGCTGTTCACCACAGGTAAGTCTACATCTACGACGTTAACCACACGTAAGTCTACATTCACGACGTTCATCACAGGTACGTCTTCATCTACAACATTTACCACACGTATTTCTACATCTACGACATTCATCACAGGCAAGTCTACATCTACGACATTCACCACAGGTAAGTCTACATCTACGATGTTCACCAATTATAATAATTTCCAACAGGTGGCTTCTCAGTGGTGCTTCACAAAGAGTAGTATAGGCAATAGCAGCACTGGACCAGGCCTGCCTTGGTACGGCCCTGTTCCCGTACCGCTATTGCCTATACTACTGCTGTGGTGCATGCAAAATTTCACGAAAATCTCAGGATAGACCCGTTAAACTGTATCTAAGAAGTCCCCGGTAGCGTAATCGGTTGAGGTGTTGGCTTATGATGTGTAGTTTGCCCGGCTATGCATTGTGTGTCCGTATTCCACCGTTGCCTCAGTGGGTTCCTTGCAACTTCGTGTGTATCATTGGTGTTAGCAAGGAATCAGGATCGCATCAGCTGCGCTCAGCTGACTTGGGGCACTCTCGAGGTGAGAGAAACCTAGCCGACACATAAGTCCCCTAGGAGATGTGGTGCAACCTCCATCTTTCTACTTCCCCCTAGGGGAATTGTGGCTACCGGAGACGTTTTGCTACTTTTTTAACCTTTCTATTTTAATCTTTTACATCTGTCTACATCATGGTAATAATTTTCACACCGTTAACATCATGAAGGGTGTTCATGAAGCCTTGGCTGTGATGTCTGCAAAACAATTTATCATGAATCTTCTCCGATAATAATTTGTTTGGTTTTCGTGAGGAAGGCTCCTCAGGCCTGTTCCCTCCCTTGTTCCACTAACCTTTTTTATCGTCTTCGCTGAATTCGTGCATTTGGCAAGACTTGGTTCGAATCTCTTCTTTCATTCTGTGGTATTTGGCGAGTTCCGAGAGCACCAAAGTAAACTCTTCCTCGGATATTTCACTGTCGGTGAGCGCGGTGAAATGTGATCTTCTATGGTGTTGAGCTTCGTTTTGGCTAGAACTCTAATTTCGCCGTGTTTCAACGCTTTACGTTGCAGTCTGCAACACAGGGGCGTGTCACGCTTAGAAACAGCGTTAGAAAGACATAAAGGTATATAGACCCTACCATAGTACTATATAAAAGGAAAGGGATGTAACGACGGAACCAACCCCTCCTCAATCTAAGTTAGAATTCACCACGTAAACTATTTTTAAGGCCCCGTCTAGGCCTACGAATCAAAAGCGAGATGATTTCCCTACAAAATGAGCTATAAATGGTCATAATCGGATCATTATTTCAAAAGTTATACGCCACGACTCACCGAAAACAGCTACCTCCGCAATTCCAAGCCAAAATCATGGATCACCCAAGACAGCGAAAACTCACCTATTTTAAATTCGTTTATTAATTCCAGCCACGTTGACAGCACCTATGTAGGGCTAGATTCGATCGGCAGCGGCATTCCACGGGTCTAAAAACTTATTGCAACATCTACAAATGATTTCCTCGACAGTAAGCAGGCACTTTCTCCAAAACCATCGGCAATCATACTCACTTGTCGGCCATAGACGACCTTGATATAATGACGGTAATGGTGCTATGCTCGTCCACGTTAATATTCCACGATCAAACCTCCCCAGCAGTATCCCGTTATTTTTAGCGAGACGCCACCATAATTATTATCCATGATAAGAAAGGGGTAGCTGAGGACCAGGTTAATAATCCAGTTCAACTGAGATTCGAAGACGACTTCACGTCGTTTGTACACGTTGTTTTGTAAGTGCAACACATACAAGGCATTTTCCGTATCGGGTTGGTCGAATCATCGCATGTCCCAGAGATCGGAGAACGCAATGGTGACTTGCGGAGTCACGTTTGCACTCATGACTTTATCCGTATGTTAGGAAAAAGTTTTCAATTGGTTTTCCGATAATTTCTCAGACGTGCACTTCAAGCCCATGAAATGCATGTTGTCAGGTAGGAAAATTTTGGCGAGCAATATCGTGTCTTCCACGGCGACGGTGACTCGCAATGTAAATGAAGCAAATGTGGTGTTGTTGTTTCTTGGACCATCGGAGTTTGATTACTCTCACGATTTCGGCTTCGTGCGATGAGGGTTCGCCTAGGAAGACTTGGATGATCAACGTGGAATTCGCCGGCAGATTTTCCATGATGTTGACCAATTTGTCAAATTCCGACGCCATCTGCAGACTTACGTTTTGCATCCCGGGTTTGCCCGAAAGTGTGTGTGCTAATTATTTTGCGATAGCAGGCTTAGGATCACACTGCGTCTTTGTGTTGGGACGTTAGCCATGAGCATCGTTCCCTCGTTCACGACTTTCATGAGGTAGTGGTATTTGCTTTCCATAAAAATAAGGGGAGAGCCGAGCGTGATGTCGATGATCCAGTCGATTCGAGAGGGCACGAGGACCCATTCGGTGAAGACGAAAGAGTATGGCGCGTTTCAAGCGACGGCCGTGGTCTCGACGTCGTTCAAGTCGAACAGCTTGCCACCGAAGGCTCTGGATATGGTCCACTTGTTCTCTTCGTTGCGGACGAGGTTGTACCGCTCGTTGTTGACCATTCCTTCAACACTGGGAACGTCGACGCATTTGTAAACGTTGTTTTTCAGTTGCAAGCCATACAGTTTGTTCTCGATTTCGGGATCGTCAAATCGGCGCGTGTCCCCGAGGTCGGAGAAGGCAAGGTAGGGCATTTTGTCAATTGCATGGTCGTTCCCTGACCCAAAGCTTCAGTCATTGTCTTTTGCGTACGTGCAATATCACGCTCAGGTATCCTATATTAACTGTATTATGTTTAATGTCTAAAACCGATATTTTTCATTCCGTGATTGTGCCTCGGCTTAATTTCTTGTACTGACGCGACGAAAACGATTCCGTTCTACAGTCGTTGTACTTTTCCGTTTTCAACGTCACTGCTCTCAGCAGCGTGGAAGGTCGTTCGCCTTGAACATTGTCGGTTAAGCTCAGCTGATCGAGATGAACGCACAGTTCGCTGTATGGAACGAGATCGGGTAATTTCGTACCGGTCATGGTAGTTTTCTTTTGTATTACATTCGATGTAAACCCGAGCGTTTGAGTCTCAGAGTGTTTTCTCCATTGTTGACCAACACGACCGTGCCGTTCGAGTCATTCATTTTGAGTTCGGCTCCCACGGGTTTGAATATTTCTTCGTTGATATAGCACACGCTGTAGTAGCCGTATGTTAATATGTTGCGGTTGTCATTTACGAACAGCCTGTATTTGTGTCCATCGGTGTTGGCCCATTGCGTATAGTAGGTGATGCGCAAAGCTCGACTTCGAGCTGACCAGACATGTTATCGATGATGTGCAGCAGTGGAATGGGCCTGCCGCTCATGATTCCCGGTAGCTTGACGTATATGTTACACGTATGCAAGACACTGTCATATACTTTCAATATGGCTACACCGGGAGTATTTTATCCTTAAAGCGATGAAAAGTGCTGTTGATTTCACGCAACCGAAGATCGTGGTGGATGCAAAAGATAGTTCCCACTTTCAAACTCGATTCATGGGTGCACGCTTGGTTCCACAACCCGATGAGTTCAATTCAATTTCGCTGTGTGGTGCGCAACCACCGGGTGTGGCGTGGCCTTGAACGATGACACTCATCGCGACACGCTGCTGAGTCAGTCCGTGTTCTATTTTCAGGCGTACTACCAGATCAGACGTATCCTGAAAGAAATCAGCGCCCACGATCG